TCTATCTATCTATCTATCTATCTATCTATCTATCTATCTATCTATCTGTGTGTAGTGTGTTTGTGTGCCACAGCATGCCTGTGGAGGTCAGAGGCTAAATTCTGGGAGCTGGTTCTCTCCTGCAACCTTTGTGGGATCCTGGTATTGAATTCAGGCTATGCTGCCAGGCTCGCTTAGAGATAATTAAGCTGTAGTATGTGAAAGGGCCTGATGCTGTCTGATTTCAGAAGCTAAGCAGGGCTGGGCCTCACTAGCACTTGGATGAGAGATAACTCCTGGGCTCAAGTAATCCTCTGTCAGGACCCCAGAACACCTGCGACTGTAGGGCTCCTGATGGATATGGCTCACAAAGTGCTTGGGAGTGGCTCTGAGCATGGACCTGTCGTTGATCTTTGGGAACCAGAAGATCCATATGTTTCCAAACAGATGAGGGTGTACCGATCACTAGCAAAGTGGGATGATAGGGGGCTATCAGACAGCCACGCCCTCCGTCACTCCGTTTCTGCTCAGTTGTGAATTTGGAGCTAAGCTGCAATCAGGCTATGATTTAATTTCCCTGCTAATGACTCAGATTCTTCCTGTAAGGATGGGGGCAACTTTACGTCATGTAACCCCATCTTTTGTCTCATACTCGAATCCACTCTAAGCCATTCTTTCTGGGGTCTCACGTATCCCAAGCTAGCTTCAAGCTGGCGTGCAGCCAAAGATGACCGTGAACTTTTTGTCCTCCTGACTCCACCTCCTTGGTGCTAGAATGACAGGCGCGCGCCCCTGTGTCTAGTTTTATGTGGTGCTGGGAGCATTATGCACGTTAGACAAGCCCTCTACCAACTAAGCTATATTCCGAGCTCCTCCCTTTTCTTCCTGCCTGGGACCCTGAATGGTTAGGACTACAGGTGTGCTCCATTGTGCGAGGCTTTCACTCTCTCTTGGGTTAGTTCAAACTATCAGACAGTTCTCTATGACTCAAAAACACATCTTCCTGTGACTTCTCCCCATTGTTCTGTAGTCCTCTTGGGTACTCCAAGACCAGTTCTTCTATGGAGACAGCCTTCCATATTTTAAGACATCTGAAATGACCTCATTGATGGGCACAGCAGCACACACCCACGGAGAATGAGAACTCAAGACCAGACTATGTCTCAAAGAAAAAGAAGGACCTCTTTGCTGCTCCTGGACAAAAATATACCTCCCGTTTTTCTTGTATTACAACTTTCTTGTACTCAGTGGAGTTTCAGTTTCTTGGACATATGCAATGGCTCTGTATATCCTTTCTCTCTAGTTCACGTTAACCTGCTGAGCATCTGGGCTCACGGAACTCAATTTCTATTCACACTGAGACCTCAGAGTCGGGAGAAAACCACAAGGGTTTTTCTCTGTTTGCTGAGACAAACAGAAGCCAAGGGACAGCAACGGCAATTCAGAAAGTCAGCGGTGGGCACGGGCACAGAGCCCAGGGGTCTCGGATCTTTCTGTGATGGTACAGGGAAAGGCACAATGCCTGTGGGGGCCCTGGTGGGATTGAAAAGGCTGGAGTTACCCGGATGCTGGAATTTCCTGCAGCCCCCGAGGGCGTAGTTAGAGTCTCTTCAGAGAAGGAAAATTTGGCTTGTCTTTCAGTGGTAAATTTGATGTCAAAATGGAGAATACAGGAGCTGGGGAACCAAGGAAGGTTGAATATCATAGAAACTTTTATTTGTTTGTTTGTTTGTTTGTTTATTTTGAGACTAAGTCTCTCTCTATGGTCCAGGCTGCTCTCAACTTGGGATCTTGTCTCAACATCCCAAGTGATGGGGTTACATACATGCTTCATCGTGCTTAGTTTCAAAGAACCTCTTGACTCTGGCAGGAGAATTGGAGAATTTGGCTTCTATCCCTGACCTTCCTTCCATACTCCAGAAGATGCTAGTCTTGAAGGGCAGAACCAGGCCAGGAAGTTGAACTCACCAAGGTGTCTGCGTATCCCTATACAGAAGCATGGCTTTACGAACACTCCCTCAGGACAGGAGGTGATATCTAGGCTGAGTGTAAGCAGCTAGTTTCTCCTTTTGGGGAAAACCAGAAACATCTTCCAGATCTAAATGCCCCAAACCAAGCCACCTAGGTCTGCAGAGACAGGTGGAAATCCAGGTGTTGATTTCCTGTGCCGTTAGCCCAAGAGGCAAGTCAACACCAAGCCTAACCAGGGTTTCTGATCCTAGGGGACAAAGCATGGCAGACAGAAAGCCAGGAGCATGTGTTAGTTCAGAAAAAAAAAAAAAAAACATGTCCCAAACCTCAGCAGAGGTCCTGTGGAATAAGAAGGGACACTGGGCAGAGGGGTGTATAGACGTCAATGGCAGAGCATGTTTAGGGGAGAGAGTGCGCGTGCCCATGCCCAATCCATTAAGTCCCAAATCCATCCAGCCTTCCATCTGCCCAATGTACTAATATCCCCTCTGAAGGGCTCTCCGGTAAGGACGCTGAGCTCTGTGGGGCTTCAAGGTTGGGCAACAATACAATACAGGCAAGTGGCGGTACCGAAGCTGACTGGCCACACACCTTTGCAGACCCACACAACAGCATTTTTTACCTGTATGTGGCTAATTCACAGCTCTCTTGAAAAACCCATCTTTGGGAACGGGGTTAGGTTCTGGGAAAAACTATGTCCCTGTCCCAAGCTTTCCCAGGTCCCAAAAGCCCAGTCCTGCCTAGCTTTGAAATACAGGCTGCAGCCATTACTGCAGCTCAGCTCACACACCCAGGGAGCTCATCTTCCTCTTTTTTAAAGAGAAAATTTAACTCCTTCTCCACCATTCCTCTGGCACAGACATACAACTGCAGTCACCCCACCCCCAGCCCTGACTCCCCAAAGCCCTCGGAGCTGCTCTGCCCTGGTCCCCAGGTGGATGGCGCCCCTCCAGCTACTCCTCTCGCGTCCACAGTATCTACTCCTGCAACTTCTGAGCCAAGTGGAGTCTCCCAACTCCCTTTATGGTGCCATCCATCCTGGACCCCCGCGATACCGCAGGCCCGGGACAGGTTCCGGGGAGGAGTCTGGGCTAGAGTCAGGACCTCAGCTGACTCCTCGGCCTCTAGGGATACGAGCTTCCCCCGCCCAAATGGGCCGGGGCTTCCGCGTCAAGCCAGGGGGAGACAGAGCCTTCGGGGTGGGGCTGGGCTGGCAGGGACCCCTGGTAACACGCTCGGACCGCGCGTCCCGTGACTCTCCACGCGCGGAGCGGGAAGGCCCGGGCACTTTCGCCCTGTCATGCCCCCTGTGCGTGAGCCACGGGGGCCTGTCAGCCTGCGGCGGACTCCCGATGCCTGGAGACCTCTCGGTGCCACCAGCAACGAAACTCCAGCTCGGTCCCCTCGTTCTCGCTACCCCGCCCCCAGCCCTGCCATCCCAGTCCAGGCCTGAGAACGGGTAGCATGCCAGCTGGTCCCCCAAGAACCGTGCTAGGCCCCAAGCGCCCGGAGCCGGCTCCTCCCTGCCCGCCGCCCGGCGGTGCCCGGCCACGCCAGGCGGCGACTCGG